TAACGTAAAAATAATGTATTTATGAATGTTGGCACGCTTTCGAAAAATCACTTGAATTCACCTCAAAATCATTACTCGGGGCTTTTCGGGGTTTTGAGCGATTTTGATTCATTTGTGAAAAAGAAAACATTCATAAATACATTATTTTTACGTTATTATTTTTTAACTTTAAAGTGCTGTAGTTAAAAAACTACTCATAGGATTGAATTTTGGCATAAGAATTTTTTGTTCAGGAAGCCTTAAACTACTAAACTACAGAGTTTCAAAAGATTTGGCTGAAAGCCATTTTCAATGTAAAAAGTGCGGGATCCTTTGAATCAGCGAAAGCTCGCTGATTCTCAGCTATAAGTATACCGCTGATTCCAATAAGCATACTGATGAATTAGTAAAATTTCACTGATTTTTCAGAGTATATACGCTGATTGGTAACAGTGGTATTCTTATCACTGATTCAAATTTAGAGGGCAGACCACTGTTCAGCCGGCCTTAAGCTCGCAATGTTAAATAGTAAAATCTATATAATCATCAATCGGTAAAACAGATTGGACTATTTTAATCCGTATACAGAATTTTATAGATTTTCAATGAAACATGATTAAATTTCAGTGAAAATATTTCACTGAAGTAATTTAGTTTCTAAATACCAGCTATTTCATCAGTGAAGTCTCAGTGATTCAAATTTAGAGAATAGCTTAAAACACTATAGACTAATTCACAATTATAGAGAATAGAAAATTAACAGTATAACGCTATGTGAACATAATGAATGAATTCAGATTTCGAGGGTAATATATATATATATATATATATATATATATAAATGCATCCTCAATTCCCTGCGATGTCACATATGTTTCACAGTTTACTACTACACACAGAGAAAAACTACGATCGCAATCATCGCAGTAACGATTGTTTTCCAGTGTTAGAAACTATTACGTCCGGTGACTATTAAACAACGTATATATATACACGCACAAGTTTTCTCTGTTTTCTGCCAAAGCACAAAGGCCAAACGTAAACATGCTAAGCTCGAAATGGTGCGGCCGGAAAAGTAACGACTGTCATTTCAATTTCTCTTTGCAAAAGCATATATATACATGTATATTCATATTTGTAGTGTTACATATTTCCCTACACAATAATACATATATATATATATGTATGTAGAGGGTGAGTCAGAGGTTGGAGAAAAATAGAGAAAAAGATGAAAACGAGGTGGTAAAAAAGTCATGTGCTCGCGCAAGTATTGTCCGGAAAAATGGTTATTCCTTCACGAATGTGCCCGATGCACATGCACATTACCCGCAGAACGGATGGTGAATGCTTGGTGGGAGAAGAAGGTTGGAAGGGAGAGAGAGAGAGAGAGAGAATGAGAGAGTGAGGTGGGGTTGGTTGGCGGATGGGTGAAAGGGCGGATAAAGGGGGTAACATTGAGATTAGCAACGGGTAAAAAATCGATGTCATCGCTCCAAGCCCAACAGTAACCCCCCTCACTCACTCTTTTTTTTCTCTCTCTCTCTCTTTCTCTCTCTGCTCGACTCACTCACTCACTCACTCACTCACTCAACCCTCTACTGCCATCCCTGGAGGGCCAAATAAAAGAACGCGAGAACACGCTCTCTACGTATATACGAGTGTGCTCGCGAAAGAGAGGAAAAAAAAAGAGTGAAAACTGTCGAGAGAAATAAAGACAGAATGAGAGTTGGAGTGAGGGAGAGGAGGGGGGCAGGAAAAGCGACCCTCCCCCCTTCCCAACCAACCACCCACTCACCCACCTACCCTTAACCGGCCGGCCACCAAGCCCGGACAGATAGATATAGTCAATGTATATATGCATGACAGCAAGAGGAACGAAAAGAATGAATGAGGAAGAGAGAGAAAGAGAGGTGTGGCGGAAAGGTGGGTTATATGCAGCAATTGGTCAGTCCACGAATTTTTTAATCGAGGCTTCTCTCTCTCTCTCTCTTTCTCTCTCGGACTCCGCGCTTATAGTGGAAAAAACCTACATATATATGTATATAGCAGAAAGACATCACCTATCGCAATTTAGCTCAATCTTCAAAAACTGAAATTAAAAGCAATACATTTTTTTTGTCTTGATTTTTGTAAGAAAAATTTAGTAATTAAATTTTTATTTATATATTATTATATACATAATGAAAAATGGAATAATGAATAAAGTAACTTTTACTATACTTTAAACGTAAAACTGGAACTGTCCGGAGTTTTTGAGCATTTCTAGCAATTTTTACTCCAGAAATAGTGAAATTTACTCCTGAAATAGTACAAATTATTCTGTTTCTGTAGTAAAAATTGACAGAAATACGCAGAAACTGCGGACAGTTTTGGATTTATTTTTAAAGTAGTAAAAGTTACTTTATTCGTTTTTCTAAATTTGAAAATTATCAATTCAGTCCTACTAATTGAAGAGTGCGAATTCACGATGAATTTTAGAAGAAGAGTCCTAAAGTTTTGTATTTAGAAGTAGAAACTAGGAATGTAAACCAGTAGGGTTAGACTTAGTAACAAAAAATTATAAACGTAAACAAGTGGCGATTATACTGTTTTGAAAATTTTTGTACTGAATCCCAAACAGTTTTAGAATACTTGATCAAATTTCATCCTGGATTCGCATTCGTAGACTTTTTTAGGACACGATACAAAATTCTAGTACTCAATATTTAAATTTTAATATAGAATTTTAAAAATCAATTATTCACCTTAAAATATTTATAGTGTTCAGTACTTTTCCTGAAAATTTATTTTTTCTTCATTGACATTTTGATTTTATTATGTAAGGAAAAAGTTCTGAAGTGATCAAATTTAAAAATAAAATTTTCTTTTAATCGGCCTGCAATTTGCAATAGTACTTGAGAAAAACCCATATATTTTTATGATGTTTCGATATTTTTTATTATTATTATTATATATTATAATATTATATATTATATTATTATTATTATTATTATTATTAAAATTATTATATATATATATATATATATATATATATATATATATATATATATATATATATATATATATATATATATATATATATTTACGAATAAAACTCCATTTCATTAAATTTAGATTTAAAAATAATTATAGATCTTATTTAATTAAATTTTACATAAATACTCTCTCTATCTATCTGAGGGTTGTACAAAATTTTAAAAGTTTGTTTTTCCTCATTTAGAATCATTAATTTTTAAATATCCGCTTTTATTTGCCCACGAAATTTTATCTCTGAGTAAACCATTAACAAATATTGTAGGAAAACGATATAAAATTAATAAATAAAATTAATAAATTATAAATTTAATTAATAAATTTTTAAATTTTCGCTTTTTCTACATAAACCTAACCTATTAGGGATCTGAAATTATAAAGAATCATAGAAAATTTGACTACGTTGACATCTTAATTTTTTATTACTTTCTTAGGGAGAATGGAGACTCTAACATAACCTCAAAACTGAAACATTGTTTTTAACACAAACAAAAATTTAATTTAATTTTGTTTGCGTTAAAAATCATTTTTCAGTTTTGAGGTTATATTAGAGTGAAAAAGATTTCCGAAATTCAACATGGCGGATCTAATATGTTGGAAATTTTTTTGAACAATTAATCGAATACACTTGAAACTATTGTTACTCTCTAAATTTGAATCAGCTAAAATCCGCTGATTGGCAGCGAATAGTTGCTGATTGAAAAAGCTATAAGTATGCAGCTGCGAATCAGCGACTAACAACTATTTCAATCAGCGGAATACTCCATTTTAAAATTAAATTTATCTTCCGACGAAAAAGATCGACGTTCGCCGATTCATGCTTCGCTATTTTATTAGCTGTATCCGCTGATATGCAGTAAAAACTTTATTCGCTGATTCAAACGAATTGATTACGAATTTAATATCAGATTCGTAATCAGCGACATGAAAAAACTTTCAAGTAGCGAATTTCAAGACAATCTGATGAATTTTTAAAAAATCTTTTGACATATTCAACACAGTTTTCCTAAAAGTCTCAAATTGAGACCAAAAATTGCATCAAATCTTTGCAACGTTTTGATGCACATAAGTTATATCAAAAAGAGTTCGTTTTGTGTATAATTTTTAGAAATGATACACGAAACGGTCTCATTTTTTGATGCAAAAAATTTAATCAATTTATATCAATCATGGCCGAATTGAATCGACTCAAAATTAAACGAATTTTTTTCAGATATTTTGATAATAGTACAATTGCGGAGACCATTTCACTATTTAATTTGAAAATGAAAATAACAGAAAATCAAAGACAATGTGCAATTCGATAATTAAAAAGTGACAGCTTATAAACATAACCTAAAATGCATGAGAAAAAATTTGTCGATAAAATCAATATAGCCGAGCTTTTTAGAAGGTAGATGGCAGCACTCATCTATTTTCTTTCTTTAAATTTTTTCTGAATCGTTTTTTTTAAAAGCAAAACTGTAATTGAAACATTTTTAATATTTCCATTGGCTCCAATTACGGTGGGCAAAGTATCTTCAAAATACACGTAATTTTGGTCACCGAAACTAATACAAACGCGCCGCAATAGAAAATTACGGTATAAGTTTTAATTTCAAATATTTGTTTAAATAATCGATTTTTATAAAGTTAAACATTTTTTTTAACATCTAAATAACATAACCTTTTAGTTTAATAAGTCTTAAATTGACTTTATACAATAGAAATGTCGAATTTTCTAATTCAAAAGTGTTTTTACTCGAATCCCGCCGCAATTAGTGCATTTACCCTATAGGAATATTCTTGTTTTGATAGGGGAAAAAAAATAAAATCCAATATGTATATCAAAGGAGGGATTTTCATCTTAATTGAGGAATTATTGAATTAATTATATATTATAATATTGAATTACAATTCCTCCCATTTGTGATTATATAATATTTTTCTGTTTGTTTATTAAATGTAATATTACATATAAGTGAGAAAAATTTAATTTCTACTTTCAGACGGAGATCGCAAAACGTTTGAACGCTATTATTGCACAATTACTTCCGTTTTTAGCACAAGAGGTGAGTATATAGCTTTATTATTTTTATGATTTTAATTTACCCCGATCGAAAGAGACAACAACGCGATAATAATAGCATGGCTTGCAGCATCAACAACAAGTGGCACGAGCTGTTGAAAGGGCTAAGGAAGTCACTCCCACGGAAATCAACGCCATAATTGGGGTAAATTTTTTGCTAATTTCATCAAAATTATAATTTGAAAATTAAAAAATTAATATTATTATTAAATAAAATAAATTTTTTTATAAACTTAAAAATTTCTTTTGCTTTAAGAGCGTTTACTTGCAGTAAAACTTTTCGACTTTATTTTATCAATTCTTATCACTATTACCGTCAACAGGGGAAATTATGGATAAATAAAGGCGATTTTTTCAGTTTCATTAAAAAAGAAATTTTTTTGACGGAGCTATTTTAAACTTAAACACTGTTCCATAATTACCTCGCATTTCGGATAATTATAGATTATTTTAATTCTAAAAGCAAGTATATAACATATTTTCTTTGTCTGTATATTAAAAAAACCATCTAAAAATATTAAATGACTTAAAATTACTTCTAATAAGCTCTTCAATTAACTTATGAAAAAAATGTTATAAATTAACATTGAAATTGGGTAAATATTAATAAACTGATACTTTTTTTAAGACTAAGTTGAACCCTAATCGAATTAAAATTTATTTTACGTTTTCTAATAGAAAAACTTGATAAAAACTACACAAAAACAAATTGTTCTTTCCTCGTTAGAAAGTGAATTTTTTGTTAATATGCAGTTTTTATTTTGTTCCCTAATTACCCAGAGAATATAGGTTTTTTTGGTTTTAGGCGTTTTATTTTACTCATTAAAAATATGTAAACTAAACTACTTACCGTTAGTATCTTTTAATAACTTTTATTAAATTCGGAGAAATTTATGAATTTTTGTACTTTTAAAAAAAATTACCTTTTTACTTTTTTGAAGTTTGACCATTTTTTTCTTGTTGCCAGTATCAATAAAAATAAAAAAAATTTAAGTTGCTTTGCAGACAAAATATTAAACTATTATTTAAAACCAGAACCAAATTGAAACAATTTATTATCAAAAGTTTACATATTTACCTCTGATGATGTTCCATAATTACCCTTGTCAACAGTATAGTTCTTTGTTAATAAGAAAAGGTAAAAAAAAGGCACGCTACATATAAGAAGGTTTTTGTTAATTAATTATAATGAATTTTGTTTTCTTTTCAGCAGCAACTACAGCAGCAGGGTTTGCAAATGCAACAACAAGGTCTGCAACAATTATTGGTAAGTGAAAATAATTAGAATAATTGATAAAAAAAAATATATTAAGAAGGAATGTGCCATAACAAAAAATAAAGATTTTTTGATGCTTTTGAAATATGTTAAAGCTGAATTAATTTCACGTAATTTTGTAAAGTTTAAACAATTTTCATCGTCTAGTTTTGAAAATATTTGCAATTAAATTTTAACATTATGTCTTATGGAGTTAACATCTTTAATTAACCTATAAATTTAGCTTTTTTAACACTTTCAGTAAAGATATGTGACGCTCCACGATGAAATAGTGCTTAGCTGTTTAAAATTTTAGGTTATGTTTATGGTAGTTTTTGCTTTATTAAAGATTTATTTTTGATTATTTAACATCAAAAGCATTTTTTACTGAAATATTGCATCTAACAAATAATTAAATAATAATAGTTTGTACCGAAAACTATCCACACATCACATAATATTTCCAAAAATAATTTTGAAATATTTCACTGAAATTTTGGAATATTTCAGTGCAAAGTCTTTGAAATATTGCTACAAACAGGAAAATGTCCGCTTATGAGGAAATATTTATGGTCAACTTGAGAAAATTTTTCACTGAAATATTCTGAAAATTTTCAACTTAAGGCCAGGTCCAAGTCGAGTCAGCTGTTCCTTTGAAGTTTCAATGGAACAGCTGACACGACTTGGACCTGGCCTTAAGGAGGGTGGCGGGTCAACATAACCTCAAAAACCTGTAAAAACTAAAAAATTGTTTTTACGCAATCAAAAATATAATAAATATTAATTTCAAACAATTTTAGAAGATCTAGATTTACTCTTTTCAAAAAAAATTATTTTTTTCCAAAATATTTTGTCAATAATTATATTTTTAACATTTAGTTTTTTTTTCTTTTAAATCAGACAAAAATTGTAATTTTTAACCAATTTTTATAAACAAAAGTTCTTATTTTTACTGCAAAGTTTAGTTCTGTCAAAAATAGCTATAAGCACCCTTTCACCGTCGAGCGTGACATGTAGTCCTAGAAATATGATTTTTTAATAAATTAAACCTCTAAAATATTGTAAAAAATTTTTAAATGAGACTTCACCATCGATTAATATATGAAAAATATTTTTAACCTTTATGGGACTAAGGGAAAAAACATCTTCTATGGGGGAACGAGGTACCCGGGTACCTATGTTTAATTTATTGAAGATTTTACATCAAAATGAGCAGTTGAATTAACTTTAAGTGTAGTGGACGTTTCAATGACAGTAGTAATCACATAATATGAATACAAATTAAAAAGAAGTCTTATTTTAAGGCCGAAAATAGGTCTTATTTTAAGAGTCAACATTTTTTAAGCAGCTCTGCTGAATTTCAGCAATGCAATTTCCATTATAACTACTAGCGCTGATTTTAAGACTCATTTTAAAATAAGATTTTCTTTTGCTAATAAAACATTACCATATTAGTTGATTATTAAAAAACTGTCCATTACATATCGAATTAAACATAAATTATTAGAAAATTACTTACCTAAATTTTTAAATTACTAATTTTTATTTAAATTGCTGTTTTAATCCTTTTTTGTACAGTAATAAATTAACTTTTTCATTTTCGAATATCTTCTAAGGAGAAAAATAAAAAGGTAAAAATCCATCTGTATTTATTTTGTAAAAAAAAATTACAATTATTATATTCCCTGTAAAATTTTCATACGGGATCTCGTCTCATTAAAATTTTAAAAACTTTGAAAATATTACAAATTTAATCTAATTTACATTCAATTTCTTTTTAATGTCAACATTGAAGTTAATCAGTTTAAACTTTATTCTATATATTCAACAAGAATTGAATGTAAATTAGATTAAATTTATATTATTCTCAAAGTTTTACAAATTATTAATAAAACGAGATCTCATGAAAATTTCATAGGGAATATAATTGTAATTTTTATACAAATTAAAATCTAATGGATTTTTTAACTTTTTATTTTTCTCCATAGAAGATATTCAAAAATAAAAAAGTTAATTTATCACAGTACGAAAGGATTAAAAACCATAAATTAAATAAAAACTCATAATTTACCAAATAAAAAAAAAAATAAAAAATTTATCAAATAAATGCATTGCTATACAGTTAAATAAATGTTTGGTTGATTTAAATAAATTATACAATTGAATATACTTTTATTTGAATGAACCAAATGATTTATTGCATTTGATTAAATTTTAATCTTAATCGTAACAAAAAGTTTGTTACTTATAAGAAAATGATTTGGTTAAATGGAACAAACACGTTTAAATAAAAATTTTGTTTCTGTTAACTAAATGAATTTTATGCATTTATATTGGAAAGAACCAAATTTTTATTTGAATTTACTAAACTTTTTAATTGTATTAGACAAAATAGGTTAATTAAACTGTTTTGTTAAGTCAAATTAACTTTTTGTCTAAGTGTACAGAGTTTTTTTTTTTGAAATAATTAATCAATCCAGTATAGATACACAGAAAAAACCTAGTCTCATTCTGAGTTGAGTTTTTTTCTGTATAATTTTCGTTGGAGTGACCCATCAGTGAATATTTTTAAAAAGCAGCATTGAAAAATATTATTTTGACTTTTTGAGTAACGCAATTTTGAAATATAAATAATATTTATTGATTTTATATAGCAACAAATCCAAGCTCAACAAATGGGAGGAATGTCGCCTGTTGGATTTTTGGGATTTGCGGGGGCAGCAGCGGCAATAGCTGGGGTGCCACCACATCTTGGCCCCCCTGCTCATCCGGCGGCAATAGCCGCTCAAGCACAGGCGCAAGCTCTTCTTAAATCGGCGGATTTACAACATCGAAGCGCTGCCGCGACGCCTGAGGATCGTAAATCAATTACTATTACTGAACTAAGGCGATCATCTTCACCTCCGGAAAAATTTCGCACTCGCACCCCAGACCTTGAAAGTGATCCTAAAAGGCGGAAAGAAGAGAAACTCACTCACGTAAGTCACTATAATTTACTTGTACAAAATATGTCTTTTTATTGCTATACACTGAAAAAAAAGATTTTGTGTTTGCAACAAAATCGTTTGACTAAGCAATTTTGATTCTTCTAATCAAATTTTGGTTAGCTGAAACAAAGTCGTAGAGTTATCTCAACCAAACATTTGGTTAGGCCAACAAAATTATTTTGTTGAACATTTTTAAATTCCAACCAAAATTTAATTACGACAACAAAATAATTTAGTTAACACAACAAAATATTTTGGTCTAGAAAACCAAATGATCGTTTGTTGTTCTAACGAAAATTCGGTTACGACAACCAAATAATTTAATTCGCTCTCGTACTTTAGAACAATTAGTTTAAATCTCTCACAAAGATGATGGTAGTCCAGTGGTCAGAGCTCCCGACTCGCAGTTTAAAAACAGAGGTTCGATCCCAGGAGATGAAATTTTTTGAAGTCCACAAATATTTCAATTGGATAAATATGAATTACACGTTAAATTGATACTAAATAATAAAATAAATAAAAAAGATAAAATGAAAAGAAAGAAGCTAGAATAAAATTTTTAATTAAAAAAAAAAGTTGGTTTGTTTGATCAATCAAACATTTTTGTTGACCTAACAAAAAAATTTGGTTGCGCTAACCAAACATTTTTGTTATGACAACAAAAAACACTCAACCAAATTTTTCGGTTGACTCAAACAAAAAATTTTGTTGTTTAAATACCGAAAAAAAATTTTTTGTTGGCCCAACCAAATTTGAGTTGCTCTATAACTAAACATTTTTCTCATACGATATTTATAAAGTTGAGAAAAAAATGATAAATTAAAATTTAATATTTGAGAAGAATTAAAAAAAAAAAATATGCCCCAATCTTTTTCTTTAAACATTATTCTATAAAAATATAGAAAATGGAAATAATAAGTTTAATCGGATTTTAATACAAATTGAATGTATACATAAATTATCATATGAAAAGCGATTCGAGCAAATATGAATAAGAGTTAAGTGAAAATGAATGGATATAATAAAGACAAATAGCAATCAGTATATTAATTAGATCACTAGGCTAATTGGATGCTAATACAAGGAACATATTTTTAGATATTAAATTTAGAAAATACAAATTCATATACATTAGGTTATTAATAAATATTTAGTAAAAATGAAAAAATTAAAGAAAAATTTTATTTTTAGAAATAATACAATTTTTTTTAGAAATGAACTAATTTGTTTTAAGGCCTACTTTATGTAACAAAATTGGAATAGTGATCGATTTTTAAAAAATGCAAACATATTTTTTTTTAAAAATGCTAAAACGACGACCCTTGTCAGAGAAACTGACTAGCGCCCGACCAGGTTGTTACGCTGCTTAGAACCAATGTCCTATTTAGAGAAAAACTAGTCAGGTCCTTGTTAGTTTACCCATCAATTACCTTATTTTGTTTGATAATGTTTATTTTAAATAATAAAAATAAACAATTCAATTTATTATAAATTTAGAATATTAATTTGTTCAAAATAATTATCAATTAAATTAATAACTAGAAAGTGTCAGGGTAAAAAGAATTTTTTAGTTTGAGGTTATGTTACAGTCATCATACACCTTAACAAAAGATAATTTTCAAAACTTAACATTTTTTTCAAAATAGGAAAACTGTCGCGACTCAGGCCAAAGACCTATTTTAAATTATAATTGTAATATTATTGTCAAATTATTATACAATACTCTCTAAATCTGAATCAGTCATTATTTCACTGATTAGCAGTAGAAATCTACTAATTGCCATAGCGAGAATTGAGCAACTGATAATTAGTAGAAATTTACTGATTCAATTAGTAAAATATAAATTACTGATTGAATCAGTATATGGTACATATGGCAGCGGCCGCAAAATTTACTGATTTAACAGTTAATTTTAAAGGTTAAGGTTTTATACAAATTCTATTGCTTGCATATTCACTAATTATATTAGTAAATTTCAAAAAATAACTGAAACTTCAGTTAAAATGAAAAGTACTGATTGAATTAGTAAAATTTCTACTGATTCAGATTTAGAGAGTATATAATTTTATATATTATTTAGGGAAAAAACTCACAGATAAATAAATTATTATAAATAATAAAATATAATATATTTTTTGTAAAGCGCGAAAAAATCAAAAAAGTCTAAATATACTGTTGTGGTCAGAGACCCAACACAGCAAACACTTTATGTTTAAAATCGTCAGCAAAGAGTTAAACGAGAGGCAGGAAAATCAGAATGAAAAAGTCGTACCGCATACATATATACATATATATATATACTAGGGAAACGAAAAGGAGCGACGGGACAAATAATCTAATTTAATTCGAGGGCTCCTGGGGCGCGGCCGCCTGTTTTCATGGTTTTAATTATACGTTTTAGTTGATGTGAGCTGCGCACAGTTTGTCGCCTCGACCCGTGTAAAACTGACAAAGAAACCATTTTTTTCACTTTTTTTTTTGTTAAAAAAGAAGATATTTCCTTACATTCTTTTTATCATTTTTTTCACTATAAGAAAAATGAATTAAATTATGAGAAATTGTAATAATAAATTTCAAATAATGTGTTTTTAAATTGTTCTCTTAAGGTACGAGCTGAGAGCAAATTAAATTATTTGATTGTCGTAACCAAATTTTGGTTGGAATTTAAAAATGTTTAACCAAATAATTTTGTTGTCCTACTTTCTAAATCTGAATTAGTAAAAATGTTTACTAATTTAAATTAGTGACTCTCTTTTTGCTTTAGAATAAAGTAAAATTTTACTAATTATTAGTAACTTTTACTAACAATTAGTAAAATTTAACTAATTCTAAAGCAAAAAGAGAGTCACTAATTTAAATTAGTAAACATTTTTACTAATTCAGATTTAGAGAGTAACCAAATGTTTGGTTGAGATAACTCTACGACTTTGTTTCAGCCAACTAAAATTTGATTACAAAAACCAAAATTGCCTAACCAAATAATTTTGTTGTAAACACAAAATCTTTTCAGTAACATAATATTTTTGCTGTTTAAAAATTTGGTTAAATGATAAATTCAATTATATATATAAAAAATATGTCTGTGAAAAGTTAAATTGGCTAAATTAAACAATCAGAGAGTAGTAGAAAGAAGTGAAATACAGAGAAGTGACGAGAAGAAAAGAAAAGAAAAATGGATGAGTGAGTGAAGAAATAAAGTGAAGCAAAAGGTGTGTATGTGTATAGAGTGAGAGAGAGAGAAAGAGAGAGAAAGAGAAAGAACGTTTACCGGAAATGAGTTCTCGCGTGTCCACGCTCGACTCTTGGAACTACCCCCCCCTTTTTTCCACCTATTCAGGGGGTAGCTATAGTCGTAGTTCTCAACCCCTCAGGAAAACATTAATCAAAGGAGCAGCGGTGCACCCCGTTACCGGTACGACGAAAGATGGAAATGCCAAGCCAACACGCTCAAAGTATTGCGGAAGTGAAGTTAGGTCAGGTTGCCTCCTTCTACCAAATAGTTTCCCTCTTTGGATGCTAATGTTATACACCGACATTGAATCGTTTCTTAATGGTGTTATTTCAAAACAAGTTATAATTATTAGAACATTTTGCATCATCTCTGCTTTTCATTTATCGTTAATGTCGCAAAAGGCGCATTGAAATCAAGAACACAATTATAGTTTTTTTATTTTCAAAATATTTACAAATATTTTTATTCTCTAAAATTAGTAAAATTTTTTAACTATTTTGAATTAGTAACCTATATTTTCTTTTTTACTTTTGAACTTTTGTTCAATTGTACTGATTTGTTAGTAAAGAAATTTTTTTAGTACTAATTAATTGAAGATTACCAATATTTTTTAGTAAAAATTTTTTTTAATTAAATAGTTAAACTTTACTAATTCAAAGGCTACTTATTCCAATTAGTTACACTGAAAGAAACGATTTCTTACGATTACCATTTCGTAAGAGTATTTTTGCTAATTTATATTAGTTACTGTTACCATTTATTTAGTCAGCCTAACCATTTTGTTAGTAAGGTAACTAATTTAATAGTTATTCCAACAAACTATTCAGTTAAACCAAATAATAAAATAGTTTTGCTAACTAATAAAAATGGTAACCACTAGTAATAAATTAGCATAAGTATAGTTTACTAACTAAAAATGGTCACCTCAAAAATGGTAACCCCAACAAATCTTTTCTCTCAGTGTATACAATTTTCACTAATTATACCGTTAATTACTCTCTAAATCTGAATTAGTAGTATTCTACTAATGAAAGAGTGCGTGTTCGTTTACCAATTGAATTAGTAACAGTTTTGACTAATTTTTAGTAAAAACCTATTAATTGCTAGTCGAAAACTACTAATTCATGGAGTAAATCGACTTACTATAATTTAAAATAGTATAAAAAATATGACTTACTAATGAATTAGTAGTTTCCTACTAGCAATTAGTAGTTTTTTACTAAAAATTAGTTAAAACTGTTGCTAATTCTATTGGTAAACGAATACGCACTCGTTTATTAAGAGAAAACTACTAATTCAGATTTAGAGAGTAGTTAAATAATTAAAAATAATGATAGCTCTTACAGTTCCCGAGCCTTTTGAGCTTTTACATAGAATGGTAATAAATGACACTCTACTCTCTAAATCTGAATTAGTAAAAGAGTTTACTAATTTGAATTAATGACTCACTTTTTGCTTCTGAATAAGTAAAATTTTACTAATTATTAGTAACTTTTACTAACAATTAGTAAAATTTACCTAATTCTAAAGCAAAAAGTGAGTCACTAATTTAAATTAGTAAACATTTTTACTAATTCAGATTTAGAGAGTATGTAAAACCTCAAAAGGGTCAAGTTTGAGAGACTGTATCTCGGAAACTATTAGAGCTATCACGTTGTTATTTTTTGCAAATTGTCACACTCTAAATCTAAATCAGTGAAATTTTCACTGATTCAGTTTTAGAGTGCAGGAATTTAGTCAGCTTTAACTATCATTAGT